ACCAAAACGAGAAAATTAGAAGTGTATCGATAGGATACACTTTAAAAAGGAATCACTTGTAGGCTGCCACTGCTGACCTAATCTTCTGAAAATGCTAAACAAATCCGGTGGGTTCAATTGTTTTTCAGTCACTGTACTAAGTCACTAAGTAGTCAGAGTAGATATTCTGACTCCACTTGCTGCCCACTTGTACCAGGTAGGTGATCCAGACATGTTGAATCCATAGACACGCTGGCAGCTAGCATATCAAGGAAAAGGTTAGCAAATGGCAGCCAAATATATATAGTTTCTTTCAAAGGAGAAGTAACTTCACAGAAAGCGTACTTGGTGTGCCTAAAGGTGCCCATAGACTGTGCCATTATTGCGGGAAATCCGCGATCGTACGATAATCGCAAAGTGTATGGAAGGCGTGCGACCGGTTTTACTTTTGTCTAAGGAGCATGTTCGAAAACCAGCCGAAAATCTTACGATTTTCGGCTGGTTTGTGGCATGCTCAGGAGACAAATGCCGAACGGGCCGGTGTGCGCACACACACACTGCCCTTCAGCATTGCGGTCATTGGAAGCCCGCCCCTCTTGCGATGATTGCAAGTATGATCTGCCTGTCCAAGATGGGCAGATCGTACGTTTTTATAATTACTTTACAACCATCGCAAGACTAAGGTCTTGCGATGGTTGTAAAGTGTATGGCCACCTTAACACTAACCTTTAACCCCTTCGTGACTGACGACGTACAGTGTACGTCGCCAGCATCGGGGCTGTTTAAACAGACTCCCGGCGACTTTTGCCGCCGGGAGTCTGTTTAAACTTGTAGAGCCGACTGTCGGCTTTACAACAGAAGCGATCCTGGCGACTTACCTGTCGCCAGATCGCTTCTGCGTCCCGAAGAAGGGGCCGCCCCCCCCGCCGGACACCCCCGCCGTGCTTCCCGGGCTCCGTTGCCCCTCCTACGGGCCCGGGACCGGCGATCTTTGTGTCCGCGGGGAGCTGGGGAGGAGGTCGACGAACTTCCGTTCATCGATCCCCTCCCCGTTCTATGGGACCGGGAGCGATGCAGATTGCATCACTTCCAGTCCCTGGGCTGTCAGTTCTGGGCTCCAGATTGTCCACTTTTAGTGCTATAGCTTTCACATCTGACTTGTCCTATAGTGATTGAAGGATAATGCTGGGTATACACAGTTGGATTTTTGATGAACTTTTGTATGAATAAAATCTTGTCAGATAATACGATAATGCCCTCAGAGACCTGATATCTGTTTGATATGCACATTCGATTTTGAAATGAATAGGAGTTTCTCTAATAAAACCCCATTCTTTGTTAAAATTTCGTTTGTGCACGAAAAAACATTTCCATCCTGCTCCCTCAATTTTTTATTTTGTCACAGCAGTCGAAAACACTCATTGATTTGACCCCATTAACTATGAGAATCAAATGAACATTCTGAAAAAAACTAATTTTTTTTAGTTTGAACACCAACTAACTAAATTAAAATTCTACTGCTGTATGGCCAGCTTAAGATGGAGTCTAGGTAATTTTTTATTTTAAAAAACACACTATAATGTCCCCCACTGGGATCATCTGTCAGTCTGACAGCGGAATCCCTGATCTGAAAGCAGGAACTACAGACAGGTGATTCAAATGAAACTTAGTAACACTTTATTAGGTTACCATTGTAGCTGCCTGTGAAATGAGATCACAGATGCTAGCTGCAGTGAAAACCAAAAGCAAGGGCCCGTCTGCTGCGTTTTCCTGTTCAGGCTAATGTCAACAGTGTACGGGTGGCAGGGGAACGGTGCTTTGCGCGGTTTCAACACATCGCATGGAGGTTTTTTGTTTTTAAACTTTACTGATTTTACTGAAGTGTCACAAAATGAAAAACACTTAAAAAGGTCATGTACTGCAGTTGTGTTGGTGACTTTAGGCAAGCCCTGGTGTGTTGCAGAAAAGTGCAGTATGTCTGCGGTTTAAACACTCTGCACATAGAGCACATAGAAATCACTTGTTTTTTTGTGTGCACATGTGGAGACCTGTGCTATTCTTGTGCAGGTCACTGCACAGTGTGTTAACAAGCCCTAAGGGCTAACACAAGATGTGCTTTATGTGCATGTTATGTGAGAAACGTCACCAGCACACCAAAAATCCTTTTGAGGATCACCATATGTTCATTTATTTTTAACTATGTCAAGTAAAACTAGCGCTTTCGGGGCCGCACAGGGTCCCTTCATCAATGCTTCGTCAATGCAAAGCCTGATAAAGGGACCCTGTGCAGCCCCGAAAGCGCTAGTTTTACTTGAGATGGTTCTAAATAAATGAACATTTGGTGAGCCTCAAAAGGATTTTTGGTGTGCTTGTGACATTTCTCACACGATTTGCAACAAGCAGCGCCATCCGCAGTCATTCCAAGCACCCTTCCCTGAAAGCTGGGACATCCGGTAAGGAGTGTGACAAGCCTTCTCTATCTTATGTGCATTTTACACGCATTTTCTTTCCTGTGGTAAAGGACGTTTGGTTTGAAAAATGTAATGTTTAACAGGCATAATGGGGGGAATTTCTCAAAGGGTTGGCGACTGTTTCTTGCAGTCGCACCTTGTAAACTAATGCTAAAGGAGAGCAAATGATTGGACGCAAATGCAGAACATTTTCCTCCACCGCTGCGACACAGTGACTGGTATGTGAAAGGGTTAAAGAGAGTCAGATGTTATGCCTTGGTAGTTTAGGGGAGCCGTGAAATGTGCACTGGCACACAGCAACAGGCGATATTGCTGGTTTTTGCTTCTTCCTATTGTAACAGTTGCAGAGACTGGATTAAAGAGGTCATTCATAGATCAAAAGGATACAAAGTAGAAGAATCTTGCCTGTTTGCAATGTCTCCCCCATCCAGAGGCGTAACTAGAACCTTCAGGGCCCCCCCTACCCCTAACCGCCATGGCACCATGTAGTTAACAGAAAGGCGGACGTGGTCCCCAGCAAGAGCGGGACCTCAGGCAGCCGCTTGTGCTGGTGTTCTGTCGAGAACGCCGACCCAGTATCTGTGCTTGCGGACAGACAGGATTAATGAGGAAAGCGGCATTTATTTACAAAGTATTCGTTTGTAATGGTTAATTGTGACCGTTAATAATATGCCATGCATGGCAGTAAATGGATGGCATATTAACGGTCACAATTAACTATTTAAACTAAAAATACTTAGTCAATAAATCCCTCTTTCCTCAATACTGGTCTGTGCGCAAGCGTAGATGCCGAGGTCGGCAAATTCAGCTACGTTAGCGTTCGACAGAACACCGGTATCTGCGTTTAGTATCAGGGCATTTTCACGAGCATGAGTACTTGTGAAAATGCCCAGTATTGGCACTGATGCATCCCTACTTAAAAATATAATGTATCACAGCAGAATGTGCTACCTGGCGGTGCCTGCAGCACATTCTGCTGAGCAAGTGGCAGCCGTACATGCTGCGGGTGTCAGAGCAGCGGGGAAGGAGCGGCACCATCTCAGTGGGGGGACCTCTTCTTCCTCTCTTTGCCTCGCCCAACAGGCAGAACGCCAGGGCCCAGTCGCAATTGTGACCGCTGCCACCCTGGTAGTGCCCCCATCTTATTTATACAGTATGTCCATTATTTGTTTGTCCTCCACATCAGAAATCCTCCCGTCTGTTGTGCCTCTGCCTCTCAAATCATCTCTCCGCTGCTTCACACTCTTTCAGAAAACTTTTTACTCTTATGTAACCCCCATCTTCCAAATCTCTCTCCCATCCGGATTAATTTCTCCGTTTGTTGTCCCCTCCTCCCCAGTCTCACTAACTGTCTCTCATAAACCACTCTAAGCAGCCGCACTTCTAAAAGCTCTGTGCGACCAAAATGAACGCGTGACCTGCTGTTCTACAAAAAATTCATGAACCCACACAACACTAGATTAATGATTAATTATACACTGGCCATATTATGTGTTGCGACGGGTTTATGGTCACAGAATATATGGCTACAATGATAAATTACACACACACACTTCTAGTGTGTTTTCTATGCATTGACTTTGATTATAATGCAACATGTGTTTTTACAACTCGCACAAAAGATGCAGCCAGGAGGATTTAAAAAAAATAAAAAATGCCACACACTGCCCTCTAATGCAACGCACTGATAGAATATGTCATCTGAATTTAATTTGATTTTAGGGTTCTTGAACTCATGCACCGGCTTCCATACACCTGCTTCCATACACCACCAATGCTTGAGTAATACAGCTGGCAGAGACCCACAGGAGCAGAGTCCAGCCTCACAGTAAAGTCAAAGGCTGTCTGCTGTTGGTAGGTATATGCTGGTGCTGCGTAAACCCGCACATGCACACGTACATAAAGTCTCAGACACAGATTTTAGGTCTGTGCACATGCATGGGTTTACGCAGTGACAGCTTATACCCAATAAGAACAGCATATATATTGGACTTTAGTGTGAGGCCGTTCACTGCACCAGGTGCTCCCTGTAACCGGGAATAAGTTGGCTTTTACAGTTTACAGAAGATCGGTACCAATGTAGAAGAACCCTTAGCATGATATGATTCTGCATTGTTGTAAAGCACATGTAAACGAACCAAATACATTTCCTTTCTCTCCTTAGCTACTTGATATCCTAGACATAGCTCTAAACTGCTTTAGGCCCAAACAGAACAGTACCCTTAGATCCTCAGATTTTAAAATGCGAAAAACCTTCATACAGAGAGAAACCTCCACGCAGCAAAATGTGTACAAATGTAAAGATACAGTTTTTGATTTAGTCTTGACACACACTGCTTTAGGGGTTCAACCTGCTAATTACTAAAGATAGCTTGCAGCATACATTTATTTTATTATTGCTCTTGATACACCTGTGTCTTAATTCAGCCTAGAGGAATTCAAATAGAATTAGAAGCAGGTATCCCGATTTCACATCTGAATAGCAAGTAGCATAGAGAGATGTTTCAGTAAGAGAACGGTTTATCATTGTCACAGTAAAGAGGTACACACCTTGGTCCCATCAACACTGATAATCCGGTAGCTGTTCCTTGTGCTGTCATAGAAGTAGGAGACAGTTACTGCTTGTTTGCTTGCAGGGACCCAGTTCTTCTTGGTGCTGGGATCTATTTGGAAGACGTGTGCTCTTGTGGTGAAGATGGGTTGCTCCCTATGAACAAGAAAACAATATTAGTGGTATATATCATGTAGACAAGTCTTTAAAGTGGACCTTTACTGCCCAAATGCTTTTGTGGTTGACTGCGGCCACACCCCTGACCCTTTTTCCTCCTAGCCAATCACAAAATAGAGCCTGGGGCCCTTTATTTTGTTATTGGACCAGGAGGAGAGGGGTGTCAGGAATGCAACCACAGCACTGTGTTTTATGAGACCCACAGCGCCTGCCTCCTGAGCAGCCAAGTAGTACAGTGGAAGGTGTGTAAATCACGTGAGTGAAGAACACAATTTTCAGGACCCTAGAGGTAGTCTGGATCATCAGACCTGTAAAAGGTCTGCCCAACTCCCACTACCAATTATATATTTGAAACGATCTTCTTGCCAAGATAACAATTCCAAGGCTGCATTTCTTTGGGTGCTGCCTAATCCTATTAAAGTTTATGTAAAGACAACATTTCGTATAGAGTAGGGAATGAATAAAACCCCGGTCAGGTTTTTTTTCTGTAATCCATCTATGTCCTAATAGAGGATTGCTCTTCACTCCCTGTCCTGTAGACACAACAGAAAAGTGAGGAACGTTCTCGTCACCAGCACAAGTGTTCCCGTTGAAAGATTATTATTATTATGGATTTATATAGCGTCAACAGTTTGTGCAACACTTTACAATATAAGGAAGACATTGCAGTTACAATACAATTAAAAGACAAAATAGTTAGAAGGGCCCTACCCATGAGAGCTTACAATCTAAAAGGGAGAAGATTCCTTCTCTTTCTTTTCTGGTCACAAATTTGGATTTTCCTTGAGTTTTGATTGCATTTTGTCTTGATGACAAACAGAACTTAAAACTGAAGAGGGTCCGAATCCTCATTACTTTGTACTGTTTAACCAAGTATACACAGGTAGACTGGTGCACTATATAAAACCGAAAAGGTGTATATTTACATTCTAGTGCCAACATTTACAATAGGATCTCCCCAAAGAAAGAAAAAAGTACAGACTCCAAGTGATGACTAGATCTTCCTGCAGTATTGTGCTGTTCTCATAAAATCAATACCTTAAAAAATAAAAAAAACAATTATATTCCAACATTGTGTTAAAAAGGTAGTGCAGCGATATTGCTTTAATAATTTGTGTTTTCTGTCAGGGAAGAATTGATAGGTCTGCTAAAGTTAGAGGATACAATAAGAAAACATAAAATACATAAAACTAGATAAGAGGATTTGTCCAAAAGGTCAAAATAAGATTTCAAAGAGCACTGACAAACCGTGTAGAACACCAAAACACGCATAAAGCAGAAAATAAGTTTTACAAGAAAAGTGAATTACTGCATTCTGTGCACATCAGTTACTGACCATAGACCCAGAGTCAATTTGATATATTATCCAATAGTAGGTCAGTATGGAGATAATGATCATTATACAAGATTTATATAGCACCAACAGCTTACGCAACCACTTAAAAAGTAAGCGGAGTTTACTTTTACAATACAAGATTAGGAGGGCTCTGACCAACTATGAGCGCCTCTGGAGGACAGGGACCGATGTGAATATTCCTATAAATGTCTGCAAAATGCTGTGTAATGTCTGCTTGATATAAATATACAAAATTAGATATAAATGGCAGTGTAGAGGATTCAGACCAGGTTTAGTGATTTTATCAGGATAGTCCAAGACATGAAAATGTTTGGGGTCCATTTGAATATCTGATAATTTGCTGGTCAATGATCGAGAGTTATTTATCGCAATTCGCGCCCCCCTCCTCCCCCCCGGCCTGTTATCTGGCAAAAACAGGATTTTTTTTTAATTTGATTTATTTTTTACATTGCTGTGTCCCTGTTGGCAGAATGCACTCACGAGTTGCCACCTGAACAGGTATAAAGGGGAAATCTTCCAATGTGATTAACAAAAAAGGGATTTTCCTCACATTGGAAATCTATACTCTCACTTCCTGTTCAGTCGACAGGAAGTGAAGGGAAAGTTTTAACCCTTGCCTAGTTTATCCAGTCTAGGCTTTAAACCTACTTTGATATTCATTATAAATAATTAAAAAGGTTACATGACAGCAGTATTTCTGGGAACCCTGGCGGTCAGTCTCATCGGCTGTGTCCAACCCTGAGGTATGCCATATAACCACAGAGACTTTTGGTCACAAATTTCAATCAATTGTTCACACTAGTATTAAAAATTTCCTGCCAGCTGGATCACATGCCCAGAGTATTCAACTTTGAGTCCATATGTGATTCCCTAAGAGAATCCCTTCTGAATTTTGCCTCAAGCCCCAATGGAGAATTGCATTAACCCCTAAAACACACTGGATCTTTTATGCTCTTGGCTATACCAGTAAAACATTTTTGATGATTCTATGTTGTTTGGTGGCCCATGTTTTTTTCCCCAATAGACTTATATAAAACTTTGACTGTTATGCAAAGCTCTAAGTTTCAGGGGTCCCAGAATCAAGATCCCCAGAATTGGAAAGCATGGCTAACAAAACAGGGATTGCTGGGACCATTCCTGCTTCACAAGAGTAAAATTGGAGCAGCAGTAGGTTTCAGGATATTCACCACACCAGCACACCCTGCCAATTTTATGATTAGGGCACAGATATTGCCCTATCTGTAACAATTATGTAGTGAAGGTGAACAAGCACTAAATTATTGACTTCCTCATCACTGGTGTCCCTAGAGGTCTTTGTAGATAAACAAGAGCAGGGCTGGATAAATTCCAGGAGCCAGGTAGCCAATGCACCTTAAAAAGAACAGCTGGCTAACTTTTGAGGTTTTCTCTCATTATAGTCAGTCAATATAGCTGGCTCCTAAAAAAAAAAAAAAAAAATCCTGCTGGCTCCTAGATTGGACAGGCTGGTTCCCTTATTCCATATTCAGTCCAGCCCTGTATAAGAGCAAGTGTCACATGTAATTTAAACAACTATCCAGTTATAAAAATGTAAATGTTCTGAGCAAAGCCCTATCAAAAAACACAAACATACACAGGTTTGTAAATGGAACAAATCTTGGATCGGACATTGTTTTACACCTCAAACATTGGAGAAAGGAGAATTCCCACAGTGAAGAGAATGACAAATAAACCTTACGAATAGCCCAAACGGAGGACCAAGGAGTGTGTCGTGAAAGTGGGAAAAAAAACCATACGCAACCCTCAGTAAAGAGCCATTTCTTGTCTACATATAAAGTCCAATTCACAATAGCATGTGGCATTCGCACATTTCATTTTTTTTTCAGTTCACTTAAAGTATTACTGAACCGATTAGCTCAATCATTGCAGATTATCACACGTTTCAAAGAGCTTCAAGCGGACGATAACTGGGCTCAGAAATCATTCACACCAGGACAAGGAAAAAAAAGCTCTGTTTCCTAAAGTTTTAAGTGGGCTATACACTAAATTATTTTATTTTTTTCAACCTGCAGGCTGAGTGAAAAAAAAACCACAAAATGTTTAGCGTGGATGGACGAATCTCCCGCTGTGAGCTTTGTATTATGACATCAACGCCGGCCGCTGTTCAGAATACACAAACAGTTCTTGCAGCTAATTGACTACAAGCACTAGTTGGCTAAAGATTTTACAACAGGCTCCTTCGATCTTCTGATCAACGCCGGACAGAAGGGTGCATCCATTGAGTACATTTTGGCAAAAAACAAACAATGCATAGTATATAGCCGGCTTTAGCTCATACCAATGCAATCCATTGGAATGCACCAGGAAAAAAAAAAAAAAACAACACCACACACTATAAAAGGGCTAAAAAAAAAAAAAGGGAAGAAAGCACTGTGGTATGTTAAAAATGCATGCCAGTGTGTGCCTGTTGTACATACTAATGCATGCACTATACTGTACATAAGCCCTCAATATAGCACTTATTTCAGACAGCAGAAGAAGTGAGATAACATATTACAAATTAAAAATATGGCTTATTTTGCTCTGCATTATCCCCATTCATGTGAATGCAGAAGCATGCAGACATCGCAATCACTGAGTCAGGTACAGTCTAGTCTACGAAGGAAGATGAAAATGAAGCTTGGCATTACAAAAAATAAATAAAACGCAGAAGGCTTTATCAGTCTAAGAGCACTCAGCATTTCAGACGTTGCTTTGTTATCTATTAATGGTCTCAAAGTACATTCTGGCATTACACTGCAAAGTCAACCTTATCATGAGGCACAGGAGAGCTACAAAGCTCATAAGAGCAATTTGGTAATTAAAGACAACATCTGCATTTCCTGTAGACTAAGCTGGATTTAAAGAGAGCTGTTAATGCCAATTATTAAAGGTATGCAAGATATGAGGAAGTGAGCAAGATAAAAAAAAAAAATTTAATACGGTCAATGCCCATCAATGCCAAAATATGTAGGTGTATGCCCAGGAGATAAAATACAGTTCCATAGCTATACAAGGAATTATGTAACCTAATATGACTGCTAGTAAATTCCTCACTCTGGTTATTACATATGTAACCTAATATGACTGCTAGTAAATTCCTCACTGTGGTTATTACATAGTCAGCTTCCAGGATATCCCCACCTCCAGAACCGCTAGATTGCTTTTGTCCCTTCTGATAATAACCTATATTGATATTCTGTCTCATTGTGTCCCAAGCCCTACTCCACAAAAGCCACAGTTTCCATACACTGCACTGATGGCCAAAAAGCCTGAAACGGTTGCTTGCAGTTTGGAAATACGGTCTCTATAATACTAGGCTATATTAGCACTATACACCAGCGGTTCTGCAAGTGCATTTAGCTGTTGGTACAAAAAGCAATGATTTGCATGGCTCTGTCCCCTGTCCTGAAATGAGGGATAAGTCTCACATGTTAGCATATGTGACTTAAATATGACAGTATAAGAAGGCTTTGCTGTTCTAATCACAGATTCCTGTTTTTTGGGGGGTTTTTTAAACCACCTTTAGACCATTCACACCATAACCTGTACGGCTACACTGACTTGTTGGATCCCAAGGCCTACTCCATTGAAGCCATGGTTT